AGAGAGAGAGAGAGAGAGAGAGAGAGAGAGAGAGAGAGAGAGAGAGAGAGAGAGAGAGAGAGAGAGAACAAAAATTGTGTGGATGGGCACTGATTGCTTCCAACAACGGAAAACTTCACCCATGCACGCGCCACACGCCGCTGTACATGCTCCTCCAATAGGGACGCTCCAAACCCCATGCCAGCAGCCTTGTGAGGTTGCGTCCAGGGATCCACAGACCTACCACCTGTTGGGAGCGGCTCTGAGGTCATCGTCCGGACACCACGGTTGCACCACTCCATGTAAGTAGCTCCGACCGCGAAGGGGATGCTCCAATTCCACGATGTAGGACGCGTTCCCATACATGGCCGAGTCGTGCTCTTCGTCTATGGCCGAGATCAAGTACCTCACTATATCACCAACCACATCCATGGCTGGCGAGCGCCACTCGTCGGGAATGACTTCGGAGTCCGGACAACTTCTTCACGAACACAATGACCTCGCTTAGGTCGTCTTTCTCATCGAACCCCAGTGCGACGACCAGCCTCATCATGGCCCTCATGGCGATCAGACCGTTGACAAGCGCGTAGTACACTCGAGTGTTGTCCACAACAACACTCCGACCCCATTCCATGCGGCGATGGCGCTCGGTCCCCCGCTCGAACCTCGCCTCCTGGATGACGACCAACTTGTCGTCGACGACCTGCTCCACCACCTTGACGACGCCCGCCATCCTCTCTCTCTCTCTCTCTCTCTCTCTCTCTCTCTCTCTCTCTCTCTCTCTCTCTCTCTCTCTCTCTCTCTCTCTCTCTCTCTCTCAAGTTGGTGAACACTACAGCCCCACACTTCTCCAGCGCACACACGGCATAAAGACTCCTCCGCAACGCTTCCCTGTTGGGAACTCTGTCATCTACCGAGAAGAAGCGGGCGGGGTCAGTTAAATAATGACAACCTCCCCCGACCCGCTGCCAGTCCCAACGGTTCGTACAGGATCATGTGACGGTGACACAGTGGATCAGTACCCGGCGGAACCGCATGGGCCCACACACAGACACGGAAATACATGTCTGTGTGTGGCCCCATGCGGTTCCGCCTGGTACCGATCCACTGTGTTTTTGCTGTATATATATATATATATAAATATATATAAGGTAGACGACGGGTTCGTGTCCCCACCGTGGTTGTCACTAACGGCAGACCCCACATAGCGGCGGGTGAGAACCCTACGAGCATCTCTAGGACAGTGTTCCCTCCCCTTATCGCCTCCGCCACATCACCGATCTTCGCCGCCTTCGCAGTCTCGACATCGGAGGTCGCCTTTGCCAATGTAGAAGCGACCTTGTCAAGACCATCGCAGTAGGATCGTGTCGAATCCTCCATCGCCCTCGCCAAAGTCGATTTGCCGGTTCCTTCGTCGTCCATCCTAGTTTTCCCTGACGATGTTCTTCGCATCTTCGTTGCGCCCTCCGAGCCGTCCGTTCCTCTTGCCTCAGACCTGCTTTTTCCGGATCTAGTTCTCCGCGAAGGCGGCGCTCGTTTTCCTGCTCCCGGCAGGTCCTCAGAGCCAAATGTCTGGTCGCACGTCATGGATGGTCTTTTCAGTTTCCACTGCATGACATCCCACAACGGTTTCTCGAAGGCGAGAGACACGTGCAACTCCTTCTGCCTTTCCAAGTGTGCGTCCCAGTACGATGGCAGGACAACGCATTCTCGCACTTGTCAAGGATGAGCTTCGCCTTCGACATCATGGACGTCCACTTCTTACAGCAGTCCTTCGCAGTTTTCTGAGGATAATCGTCGGATGCCATGCGATTGGCCACCCACGCATACCACTCCTTCCTTTTAATGAACTGATATTGTCCATTGGCGTCAGCCATGAGCGCGTCGTCCTCCCCCATCATCTTCACCAACCATATCCTCTCCTCCAACATCCACGCTAGGTTTTGTTTTTTGTTTTTCGGTGGCCCGTCACGGTTATTCCGACCTTTTTTTTGCCCACTTCTGCCACCGTTTCTCGCATTGGAATCACCGCCTTTGTCTGTTTCCGGAACACCGCCTCCATCCCCATTATCGTCGTCAACATCATCTCCATCTCCATTACTGGTGTCATCCTCCATATCTTCGCACGCTTGACCATCGTAGTCGTTTGCGGCATCACTGTCGAACCCTGACGAGACAGAAGTCCCGCAATGCGGCGTCCATGCATTGTCCATGTCGCATCCATCGGCGTCCACCGTGGAAGGACCGGTAGTGGAGGGTGATCGCCTGCTGGACAAAGTGGTGGTGCTGGAGTACATCCCGTGCGACGGCTGGGAACTCTGCCCGGATTGCGGGGACCAAGGGCGATCATTCCACATTGCGCTCCCCCTATCAAATGTTTGTTGCGTGGGGAACACGTGAGCTACAAAGTCGAACCCACTTCCTACCGGCAACGTATGTGCACTGCCCACGCCATACCCGCCACTGACTTGGGTGGCGTACGGTGTGTGTCCCGTGTGACCACCTCCAACAGGCATAGTGGCCGTAGGTGGCGGAACATGGGACTGGGTACGTTGCCCCGCTGCGTCTGCGTGAGACTGCTAAGAGGGGAGGGGGGCTGCCGAGACATGAATCGGTGCACCTCGCCCCACGTCGTGCAGCTGTCCAGTGTAAGACTGTAGCCTCGACGATGACGGACACGAGTAGTGGCTGCCTGCCAGTGGACGTCCGTCCCGTGTTGGGAACCCCCCCTCAATTCCTCCCTGGTTCTCCGCCCTCTACCGGCTCGGATCGATTTCCCCCTCAATGCCTCCCTGTCTCTCCGCCCTCCACCGAGTCGGATTCATTCCCCCCTCAATGCCTCCCTCGTTCTCCGCCCTCCACCAACTCGGATCCATTTCCCCCGCCCCCCAACCCGCAAAGGCCAATCACTGGTCGACCTCAGCGACCACCGCAAGTAGATCGCCTGCCTGCACCATTACAGTCCCAGTACCGTCCAGAAGAAGACGAAGGAGAGAACGACGCAGAACACGATAATGGAGAATAACAAGGCGGTGAAGACGATGACGATGACAACAAAACAGCAGCCTATTGCTACGTGGCACCGTCGACCGCGGATCCTGCGGCCTCGGCCTCGACCAAGGAGGCTAGCCACTGGTCCGCGGCCGAGGCCGCGCAGCCGAGTTCCCACGCGGCCGCGCCATGGCCTAGCGGGGGTGCGTGAGGCCTGCGCACCACGTCCTCTAAAGGACCGCACAAAAAAATATATATATATTTTTTCGGGGGGGGGGTGTTTCTCTTGAGTGCCTTAGATAATTTAAAAATAGAAAAAACAAATCATTGATTGATTGTTTGTTTTGATTGATTGATTGATTGGTTGATTGATTGATTGATTGATTGGTGGGGGAGGGTTCCTCCCTCCCCTCCACGGCACACACACACACACACACT